TACTATGACAGAAACAAAGAAAATATTTCAATCTTTATCATTTAATATAATTTCAAATAATAATAAAAAATACAATCAGTGTCAGCTAGATCTGCATGGCAGGATTTAAATAAATCAGAACCACATTGTCGAAGTGTACTTGTAGATTAAAATCTTATTGCAAGAGATTTTAAAATAGATTTTCTTAAATTTTTAATTACATTATTCTCAAAATCAGTGGAAATCTTACGAACAAAAAGCGTCCATTAAATAATTATAATTATAAGCAGAAGCGACTAATTTTACTCAGCACCGATAATTGGAATTTCGTATGGACGCTGAATCAATTATTCACGATGCACGAGCTCGCCTTTGGTTTTTAGAAGATTACTATTCACGGACTTTTACGTTTAATGAGTCCGGGTATAATTTAATACTTCGTTGGTCTAAAAAGATGGATTACTTTAGAAAAGAGCGGTTGTCTATAAAATTTTGTGAAACCCAACAGTTTCAAAGTGATTTTTAAAATTAATTTTTCTACTTGATTAACATAATATGTGTATTTAATTTTGCTCTTGACAACGTAGTTTTTTACATTTTCTCTTGATGTAATATCTATAAATCACAATAGTTGTAATAATGCTGGATAAATTTCGGTAATTTATGAGACTCTAAAAATAATTATTTAATCAGAATAATTTATTATAATCAGAATACAGTTTTAGAAAAAAGTTTATAATAAAAGGGTCAACCAAGAAAAGTATGGTGGTAATAAAAACAATTATACTCTTGTAAATAAATATAATTTGATAGAAAATTAAAATAAAACGTAGCGCATTCCAATTAATTCATCAACAATTTTATTTTCTCGTGAAAAAAATTTTTAGTTTTAACTCGATACTGCAACAGGTTTTTATTATAATGCATCAATTTATTATCCTCCACTTCTACCATTATTTACAGCTCCTCTCGCGTGAATTAAAAAAAAAAACTTCTATTTACAAATTAATACGTAGTAGCTCGTAATATCAAATCACTACTTGTTTTTTGCTAGCACGCGCTTGTGTATTTTTATCCACTCTGGCGTTTCTCTCGTACTTTTGTATCGAGTTTGCATGGGAATGCCCGATATTGGCACTTTTTTTCGTCTAACACATTCAATCTCTCCCTCTCTACTTCTGTAGAGAAAAAAAAAAAAAAAAGAAAAAAAATGCGCGTTAAAAAGTTTTTGCGTGATGGATGTACAAAGCGAGGCCATACTTTTGCGTGTGTGCCGGCTCTCGAAAAATATTTTTACTTTACACAAAAGTTCGCACAAGCATAAAATTCAAGTTTTGCATAGAGGTGCGATATGGCAATGAAATATCTATGTACAATAACGGTGAGTAAGGATAAAGAGCGCGAGAGAGAATAATCGCGCGTCACTTTGATTTATGCGGGTTGGGGAGAGTACGAGGTTAACGAAGTTTAGTTTTGGCCTTTTTTTTTTGTGCAATGGATCGATCGTAATAAGCTTTTTTTATCTCCAATCGAACGAGTGGTACGTATGACATTGTAATTACTTTGAAGTTGTTGATAAGGCTTCTTTGATAAAATTGATATCGCTGTCAGTCACACATACACGCATGCTTGTCTAGTTACTTCAAAATATGTCAGTATCATAAAATAGTGCGTTTTAAAGATGCAAACTTCGCTCGCTTGATCGAAAATAAATGAAGAATTTTTAATTTTATAACTTCAGAGAATTTTACGTTGACGAAAAATAATAATAAAAATTTTTTGAATTAAATTTGCCCTAATATTTCGAACTTGATTGAATGATTATATTTTTAATAAATATAACCACTTTATGTTCGATTAATTGATTCATATGAATTTTAATTAAAATGCGAGTGGCATCAGAGGTGAGGAGAAATCAATATGTATAATTAATCAAACTAATCGGGTCGAAGCGAAGGAAAAGCCAATAGTCTATTTAAATCACAGTGCACTTATAATGTGACAATTTAACAGCTCATTGTTCCTTGTATACATGATGCATCATCTTTCAAGGACTCATACACACAACTAATCACACCATGACAGTGCATGATTCTTTTAGTCGATAATTTTTTAATTTAACGCTGTTTTTTTCTAATTTTTATTT